TGAGAGACCCAACCAGTAATGAAAGGGATTTAATATATCCACCCAAAATTCCTAGAAGGGAAATAATATATAATAAAATCCCCATTTAGCAGACTAATTGGGGATAAAGGTCTGTTGATTGTCCATTGAATGCCAATATACATCATTTTGTCAAATTATTTCATATGTACAAAATCATAAAATTAAGGTAAAATTAATTTGCAACTGACTTGTCAGAACTATTTCAGATACAGTGGGATTGTCCATTATTTTAGGGAGGTTTCTACATAGAAATTAAGTCTTTTGTATCCAAAGTCTGCTAAAAGGTGGTCTATTAAATAAAACTTTCTACTGCATTGATATACATATCTCTGTATTTAAATTTAAATTAAATTTAAATGCATTGCACAAGATTCAGCAGGAATATATGAGTTTAAATTTAAATTAAATGTAAATGCATTGCACAAGATTCAGCAGGAATATATGAGTTTAAATTAAAATTAAATATAAATGTATTGCACAGGACCAAATGCATAGGTTTAGTATAGGTGGTTCCTTGCTCAATAGTAGTAACTGTGAAAGAGATCTTGGTGTCCTAGTGGACAATCACTTAAATACGAGCCAGCAGTGTGCTGCAGCTGCCAAAAAAGCCAACACAGTGCTAGGCTACATTAACAGAGAGATAGAATCAAGATCATGTGAAGTGTTAATACCACTTTACAATGCCTTGGTAAGGCCACACTTGGAATACTGCATCCAGTTTTGGTCACCATGATGTAAAAAAGATGTTGAGACTCTAGAAGGAGTACAGAGAAGAGCAACAAAGATGATTAGGGGGCTGGAGGCTAAAACATATAAGGAACGGTTGCTGGAATTGGTTATGTCTAGTTTAATGAAGAGAAGGATGAGGGGTGACATGATAGCAATGTTCCAATATCTCAGGGATTGCCACAAAGAAGAGGGAGTCAAGCTATTCTCCAAAGCACCAGAAGGCAAGACAAGAATGGATGGAAACTGACCAAAGAGAGAAGCAACCTAGAACTAAGGAGAAATTTCCTGATAGTTAGAACAATTAAGAGATTGGACAGCCATTTGTCTGAAATGGTATAGGGTTTTCTGCCTGAGCATGGGTTGGACTAGATGACCTCCAAGGTCCCTTCCAACTTTATTATTATTATAGTAGTTGGGCTGTTGGCTTGATCTCTGAACTTTGCAATTTGGCTGCAAATGTTTCGTCTCCATTCAGGGGGACATCTTCAGTGCGCTTTGAATTGTGCTCATCTGTCAGAGCACTGGCCTTTTAAACATGTTTATGTGGAATGTAATGTTTTTGTGTAGGCAATGATTGTCCCTGTTATACTCCGTGAAAATTGGACTTTGAAGAACCAGGATAGAGAGATATTAAAGCATTTGAATATTGAAGTTGGAGAAGATTCCTGAGAATCCCATGAATACTTAAGTAATATGCAATTAATCACGATGGCTAATTACTCCTTACCAATTCCTTCTGAGTATCAATAACAGCCAAGGAGGCATTAAATGAAGAACACGTCGTTAAACTGAGAGACCAATTCTTTTCTTCTTTTGATACATAGAAACATTTTCCTCTGTATCCAATCCAGGTATCCGGGCAGGCAACGCTTTGGCTTGGAAGTGAAGGACAATGAGGACATGTTTTTGTTTTTTTAACTGGAAACAAAACAAAATGGACAAATTATAGGGCTCACAGTTAGCTATGATTCTGTAGTAGTGAGGTGGCTTAATATTAACTATTAATAGTTAACTATATTAACTATCAAGCCACCTCGCTTAAAATTGCAATTCCAGGATTTTTTAAGGAAGTCAAGTGAGTTACTCTGTAAATACAGGTAGTCCTCACTTACCGATCACATTTGGGACTGGCAATTCTATTGCTAACTGTTGCAGTTGTAAAGCAGATAATCACATGACTACACCTAAGTATTTTTTATTAATTTATAATGTAAAATGCAAAAATGGAAAAGAAAATAGTAGGAAAGATAGGGGAGGGGAAAGGGAAGGGAAAAGTGTAGGAAAAAGGGGAAAAAGAAAGAAAAAGTATTGACTTCTGATTCCCTTTGGTGCAGTAGAGTAAGATAATAACATCAAACCTCAAGTTTTTACTTTTACGTAATAGTATAAACTAGCCATTGCTATAAAACAAACCTAATTGGTAAAACTCACAATCAAAGTTTCATTTTTTTCCACCTCAAGCACAAAGTCCAGAAGTGGTTTCCAAGTAGAAATAAAAGTAAGAAATGAAAGAAAAAATGTTTTTTTTCTTTAATCAAAGCAGTCAGTTTAGCCATCTCTGCTAACTCCATCAACTTTTGCAGCCATTTTCTCCATTTTGGGAATCAAAGCATCCTTCCATTTTTGTGTATAAAGTAATTTCTCTGCCATCAACGTATATAGCATCAAAGTTCCAAAACTTTTTCCAAGTCTTTTTCCATTCAACCCAAAAGAAAAGTTTCTGGTTTTATCTTTACATTCACTTTGAGAAATTTCTGTATTAGGATGTGAACCTTATTCCAATATGTCTTTGCTTTGTCACATGTCCACCATAAGTGATAAAAGGTCCTTTCTTTACTTTTGCATTTCCAACATTCATTTAAAATACCTTTATACATTCCTGACAATTTATCTGGTGTTAAATACCAACAATACATCATTTTATAGAAGTTTTCTTTTAAATTATAATTTCATGTAAATTTTAAACTTTCCATCCACATATTCTCCCATTGTTCAAGCATTACTTTAGATCCAAAGTTCCTTGACCACTGAATTATGCTTTACATATTCATTTTCCAAATTCAAATTCAATAACAATGACTGTGCCCAAGTTATGATAGTAGTTAGTTTGTTAGTTCCAGTTGCAGTTGTTAAGCAAATCATCATGGATTATCATATGTTATGTGACTGCAACTTCCTGCTAGCTTCCCCACTAACTTTGCTCATCGGAAGCTAGTTATGAAGGTCACCAATGATAATCATGTGACCATGGAACTTGTGACTATTATAAATGCACGCTGGTTGCCAGGAGACCAAATTGCCATCAGGTGACTGTGAAATGCTATGACAGCCACAACTTCAAGGACCAGTCATAAGTCTCTTTATTCAGAACTGTTATAACTTTGAACAGTTGCTGAACGAATGTATATGTATATACTATGTATACTTATACACAAACACGTAGGTATATAACTTTATAATGTGATTTTAGATTTGCATCCTGAATATGTATCAGTACACTTCCTGTATCTCATAGCTGATGCAAACAACCATATGATAGCTTACAAGATAGTTTCCAATTTAGAGATCTTAGCTTGCCCAGAATAGTATGAGCTTATTTTGAATGCAACTTAAATTTAGTTGTACTAATAGCAATCTAGCCAAATGAGCCAGAACTAATAGGTACAGTCCTTACCATGTGACACAGATATGGCTAAATCTATAACTCTATCTTACAAAAACATGTTATATAGACAATTCAGTTGTCCAAAGCCACAATGGGTAGTAAAGTCAATATTTATCGGCCATGATGTGGTGATGTTCATGGCATATTTAAGATTGAAATTTGGAATACAAAAGGAGCAAATGCTAAAGAGGATCAATTAAGAAATGACACTGTTAAAAACACAACATTTGTATTTATGAAACTAAGAGAAAATGAAAAAACACATTTACCCACACCCACACATTAATTGTGGACGTGAGAAATGAGTATGTCAGGAGAAATATAAAAGTAGACTAAGCTAAGCAGGAAAAGATCCAGTCTGGTGCAGTGGCTAAGGCAGGGGTGTCAAACTCAATTTCATTGAGGGGCGCATCAGCATTGCAGTTGCCCTCGGGGGGCCGGGTGGGTGTGGCCAGGGTGGGTGCAGCCTACTGGGTGTGTGGATGGAGTGGGTGTGGCCTACTGGGTGGGCATGGCCAGCTCTACATTGTTCGCGTCAAGGGTGCCTGTGGGGGCCTGGGCAGGAGTGAGACAGATCTGAGGGTCTCTGGCAGAAGGGGGTGGGACCAGGGCAAGCGCCAAGGCATGGTCCATTTCTTCATTCCTCATAAAGGGTGACACCTCCCCAGCATGCACGCAGGGGGCGGGGCCGATGCGGCAGGGGCTGGTTCCTTGCTGTTTTCAGACGGCCTTGTGGAGCTAAGGCTGAATGCGTTTCAGCATAGATGGCCACCACAAAATTGTACATTGGCTCCCGGCCGGCCTGGGCCAGGGCCAAGGCAGCGAGGGCCGTTTCCTCACTGTTTCCAGGATGGCTTCGCGGGCCACATGAAACCAATTCGCGGGCTGCATCCGGACCCCGGGCCTTGTGTTTGACATGTCTGGGCTAAGGCATCAAGCTAGAAATCAGCAGACTGTGAGTTCTAGTCCTGTCTTAGCCACAAAGCTAGTTGGCTTGACTCTCAGTCCTAAGGAGGAGAAGAGGCAGAGACAAACCATTTCCAAAATTTTGTCATGAAAACTGCAGGGACTTGTCGAAGCAATTGCTATGAGTCAAAAACTGACTTGATGGCACCACTCCCCCCAAAAGCTACAGTGGAAATGGAATACTTGAATGTGAGTGATAAATCCACACACACTTTTAACCTGGTCAAGAGTGAAAGGTTATTGAATCAAATGCCAATTTATGTTGGATTATACTATCTTCTGCCCCCCCCCCCCCCCATCTGCATTGTGCTTGTCCTGCCTTTCATATAATAATCCTTCCTTCCTGGAGCTTTTGTGAGAGTGTCAAAAAAGATGGCAATCACAGCAGTGCAATAAAATTCTTTTCTTTGTGGATCTGCAGGAAACAGTTGATACACCTGCAAAAATCCTAGCTTCAATTGCACTGCCACAAGCATTTTTACTTTTTTGACAAACATACACACAGTTGCTGTTACCTCCTTCCAAATTGTTCTGTGGTTTAAATGCATGTGGTGATCTTGAAGTAAACGATAACAATAACTATGGACAAAGTTAAATGGAAATTTCTCATTACTTACCAGCCAGTGAAATTATAACGATAATCAAAACAACGACCAGAATAATAGCTCCTATAATGAATTTTTTCTCTGAAATGCACTTAGGTACAAGAGCTGAAAAACAGACAGGAAATATGAAGAGATGAAGTTCAAGATTTTATTGTGATTATTTTGATTTTTTTTGTTTTTGTTGTCTTGTAAGCTGCTCAGGTTGTAGTCACACTATGTAGGACAGGCAGGCATTATGGCACACTAAGACAGGCAGAGAGAGACAGACAGGCAGACAAAGGGAAAAGATCAGCTACTCTTAACGCCAGAGATTGCACATTTACCCAAACAGTTGGCTGTAATTTATATGAACAGTTTTTGTGTTCTGTGTCTTCATTCAGCTTTGTGTGTTCCACCTGGCCCTTGAAACTGTAATGCAGGGGAATTTGGGAAAGGAAGTTCAAAATATTTGGACAGCTTTTAGTCTGAAAAATCTGTATTGGCAATTAAAAGTTTTTGTCTGACTCACAGCAGCTGATCCGGCCATAAACAAACCCTGAATAACCCTCATCTCCCTCCCTTCCTCTCCGTTCCCAAGGAAATATACAAGGTGGCAGTTAGCGTGACTCCAAGGAGCCCAGGAATACACCCTTGGTGTCTGTTGTGTGTGGCCTTCGGGTTTCTTCCTCCAAAAGCCATGCCCTTAAGACATGGCTATTCCAACTTGCAGGACTGGCCTAGGGGAAAATTTTAATGGGGTTTTAAAGCAATTTTTAAATTAACTTGATCAAATTACTAATATTTGTTTTTACTTATGTTTTTAAATTGTAGTTTTTGGGGATTAGTGTTTTATTTGGTTGTTAGCCGCCCTTAGTCCGTAAGGAGAAGGGCGGGATATAAATTAAATTATAAATAAAATAAATAAAATAAATAAAAAAAAACAGATCCAAGTGGATCTGGGAGTGGCTAAGATCCTCCATCCTTCTCAAAGTTGTGGGAGACATAAAGTTAACCTGAATCCCACAGCCCTGCCAGAAAGAACAGCTGGCAACCCTTGGGAGAGTGTCCAAGTCCAAAAATGTAATACCCCAAAATACAACTCAAGTAACTTTTCCATAACTGCCAAGTATTTTTCCATAAGACAATGTGGGACAACGCAGATATTCCTCACTTCCTTTGGCTAATGCACAGTGACGTTTATAGGCCCCAGCTCTGCCTTGAAGGCCCTCCTTAAGGGGTTTCCCAGCAATGGTGGCATCCTTGAAATTCTTGCAAATATGTAACATATTTGGAATTAAGTGCATCTGTATTTTGCCTTGCTAAAAGTTGGTATAAATGTCCCAGAAAAAAGTATCGGAAAAACCTTCTCTGCAAAAGTGCTTGCCCTCTGCAAAGTTCTTCTAAAGAAACGGAAACCTCAGCTGTACAACAACAAAAGTTTGTTATGGGAAACCACTGAGGAGGAGGGAAGGAAGGAAGGAAGAAGTACAGACACTTGAAGGAATATTTAGAAACCACTTTATGCAGAAAAGCATCACGAAAAATAGAGCATGGCATCCCAACCTCCTCATCTTCCCCAACAGCATTAAGCAATGAACAAAATCTTGTTCTCTGAGACAAAAGTATCAACATCAATTCCCCCCCCCCCCCCCTTGATCTGGACTTCTCTCTCCAACCCCAATGGCCAAAAGTCAATAGCAGGCTTTCTGCCCTGAAAATGGGAAATGCCCACTGAGCTGACATGGGAAACTTACCAAAGCTACAGTGTTGGCCCCAGTGGTGGGATTCAGCCAGTTTGCATCGGTTCGGCAGAACTGGTAGCTAAATTTTTGCTGAGTTCAGAGAACCGGCTGAATGCACATTGCTTCTGGAAGTCCAGTCTAGGCCTGGGAGGCCTCAACGGCCCGCCAGAAGTGTGTGGATGCCACTTCTGGAAGTCCGTTCTAGGCCTGGGAGGCCTGGAGGAGGCCTCCCAGGCCTAGAACGTCCCACTGGAAGTGCGTGAATGCCACTTCCGGAAGTCCGTTCTAGGCCTCAAGAGGCCCAGGCCTGCATCCAATAAGAGAACTGGTTGTTCAGGTATTTGAATCCCACCAGTGGTTGGCCCTAAAGTTGACTTTGTGTGAATTTTTCCTTTTCAAAAAGAGGAACAGCCTCAACTTCCTTTCCTCAAAACCAGGGGGAAAAGATAAAGGATTCTGGTTTTTACATAGATCTGGTCCAGTTCCACCCATTTTGTTGCATTACTCCCCCAATCAAAGATCACAAAGGGCTCCAGGCAGGTGACTACCTTTGTTTTTACCAGCATTTCTTGCATTCTTTGCATCAGAGCTTCCAAGAGCAATTTCAGTTATCACCACAGGAGTCAAATGATCACAACATCCAGGATCTTCTTCTGCCCCTAAAGGAAGGCAGAAGACCCCATTTATAACCATAAATAGAGATACGGTCTAGTTTTGCTCTTGGGAAGACACTGCCCCCAATACCCAACCAGGGCTCCCTATCTTTCCCAGTCAGACAATTTAAAGAAATGTTTTCAGTAGCTGAAACCTCACAAGAACTGCAAATTCTGCACTGCTGAACATTCACAGGCAGAACTCAAAGCAACTGCAAAATATCTCATAAGAGTTTATCATCTTGCAAAATTTCAGGTGATTATTTTAGGGGGTCGTGGTCATGTCATAGGAAAAGAAAAATGGGCGTTAGACCTGGTGCATTCCTACTGCTTTTGTGGTGCACATTGGAAGACCTCCTTGCTTTTGCACAAGCAGATATATATATGTTGCTGAATTCTATCTGAAATTGACATTCCATACAGAATCCCAGATATGAAAGTCTCTGATGTAATGAGGCTCTCTCCAGCTTAGAAGGTCATCTGGGAATGGTCCTCTCCTGTGCTCTTTCTGGTTCATCAGATTTAGAGTATTTAGTTCCAATACAGTTCTTACCATAAGAATCAAGGGTGGCTGAAGAAAACAGTCCTACTGCTAACTAGTTCTCTTACTAGTTCTCCCTAATTTTAGCTTGAATCCAGTGATCTCCAAATGTTGCAGATCAACTTTTGTCCATCCAGGTTTGCTTTTTTCAACTCATGCCTGCCTTACTTATTGTGATTCTTCTGCTTAGAATGTACTACTTAGAATATATATCCCTCCTAGGTTAATATGTATTTATTTCCTCAGATTTCTTATTCTTTTTAACCATAGTTAAGAATATATTTAATCTTTAGACATTCCATTCAATAGATCTAGTCATCTAATCCATTAACTCTGATTCAAAACATTTTTTATATATACTTTCCTTAAATTCAGTCACATTTAAGTATCTAAAACATTTCATCCCTCTTAAAGTGGTATATTCCAAAATTGTTCTATTTCTTTAACCATATTCAAACACATGCTTCTTTTTTAAGTATTTTCTCTGATATGTCCCATAATCTATTCTCTTAGTTTCCATCTTAATCTTTTTTTCTTTGCCCAGAATTTTTCTTAATCAATGTACTTTGCTGAATCAAAAGGTTTTCCTGTACGATCATAGGTGTTGCTGTAGATATAGAAAGTAAATCAATGTCTTTGTCATGGGCATTTGCCCACTCCTTTTTATTAGGAATCTTTTTCCTTCCTTTTCTCTCCACTTCTTTTGTCACTTTTTGTCTCTCCATCAAGTATTTCCTCTCATCCTCAAGTTTGCTTTGTGGTGTTGAAATATAAACTGTCTTTTCTTCCACTTGAATTAAATCATACTCTTTTATTTTGTGGAAGTCCATTAAGTCTTTATCCTCAGATTTATATTCAGTCATCTCTGCTGTATCCTCTTGAGGATTTTTTGGGAGTAAAATTAAATTGGAGATAAGTTGATTTATACTTTCAAAGTTATTCTGTATTTCTTTGTGGTTTAAGATCATTGTCCTTTGAATTAGTTTATTTATTTATTTATTAAATTTATATAAGTTGCAGCTTATCATATATTTCCTCTTGTAAAGTATACATTGTTTCTGTAAATCCCACTTTATCTGAACAGCTGTGTTGATTAAAACTTTGAAGGCCACAAAGATTTCATAATCCTCATCCACCAGTAGGTGTCAGCATTTGCTCATTTTTCAATTCTTTCTAGCCTTTTTCCTCCTTAAAGCAGGGCATTTCAACCAGTGGTACGGGTACCACCTGTGGTACATTGGCACCTGGCAGGTGGTATGCGACCATCCTAGAAAAGTGGTAGCGGGAGAGGGGAATGAGCTGAACCGGTGGCAGCACCGCACAAGCCTGAGCAAGAGATGGCTGGAGCTGCAGGGCTGTCAGGGCTCAGTGGAAGCGCCAGAATCAGTGCCAGGCTCCAGCTGGAGCTCCGCGCTGATCCTGGTGCTTCTGCTGAGCCCTGAAGAAGCACCAATCAGCTGGAAAGCAGCACTGATCCTGACACTTCTGAGCCCAGAAGAAGCACCGATCAGCTGGAATGTTGCAGCATCTCCAGGGTCTTGTGATTTACATTCAGATGCTTGGCAACTGATTTATATTTATGATGGTCACAGTGTCCCAGGGTCATGTGAAGTGACCAAAGCCTGCTGCAACCACCAAGCAGATGGGGGGGGAATAAAAACCAAACACCCCCCCACCTCACCCCCGCTGCCAATCCTCAACAGAAATGCTCACAACAATGTAAACCTCGGACAGGAAGAAGAGCGCGGCAGGGTGGGCAGGCAGGTGTCTTGCTCGGCTGTGGCTTGGGGGGGCACTTTTTTCAGTGCCATTGTAACTTCGAACAGTCACTAAGCAAACTGTTGTAAGTCAAGGAGTACCTGTACTTTATCACTTTTTTCCTTTTTGTCATCAAGTTTTTGACACCTTGCTAGGCGACTGGTGGTACTCGGATGTTGCCATATCCTAAAAGTGGTACAATGGGTGAAAAGGTTGAAAAGCCCTGCCTTAAAGGGTTATATTTGCTGCTTCCAATAGCCAAAAGGTGAAGGGGAAACCTCTCCCTTTTTCACTCTCGGAGGTATTTTTGCTTCTTGGGAGTTCTCCTTTTCAGGAAAATAAGTAGGATAGAGAAAATCAATATTCTTACCCAGATTTCAAACGCACTGCTTACAATCAGCTTAGAGTAGAGCTTTTGACTTCCGTTGCTTGCAGCTGGGGCTAGACAATAGAGTTAGCTAGCCTTTCTCCTGTTGGTTTCTGGAAGGCTTCTCCTGGACCGATCGGGGAGACCGCCATCTCTCCTAGATCCCTAGGACTACCTTCCTTCATTGCCACCTCTTTGGGGCGGCTTCTGGCCCATTTAGGGTCCCCAAACAGGAAGAAACTCAGCTGGAGGGCTCGGCATCCCGAATCCCTCAACTGATTTCACTGCTTACAGGAAGTCCTTCTGCTTAGAATAAATACCAATGGTTTTATTCATAGACTCAATGAAGAGTTTTTCTCTGACTTCATTAGTACCCCAGGGATTTTCTCCTGCTTTCTGTAGTTCTCAGCTAGATGAAAGAGCTGAATGACTCACCTGTAATTTTTCCTGGCATCTTCCAAGCTTTCCAGGTTACAAAAATATCAGGATTCAGACTCTATGGAAAGAAAAGAAATTGGTATTACTCATTCCTGCACAGGAGTATAAATAACAATAATGTTACTGTAGAGAAGATACTTCCTTAAACTAAACTTCTTCAGTGTCTGCCCTCACCTGAGTCTTGAATACTGACTGGAATAACCAAAATTATGAGACTTGAAGTTTGAAGCCAAGATTGATACATTTTAACTGAGCTACTATTTTTTGAAATGCCTTAAAGGACTGTTCCTTGAAGAACTTCAGTATTCAGGTCAGGCATATTTTCCCAATGGCAATAAAAATTAGGAACAATTTTACCTCGTGAAAATTAAGCTTCCCATTACTGTTCCTCATCTAGTCCTTTACAATGCAGAGACATGGACAGACTCTGGAGAGAACCAACCCTGAGCTTAAAGGGATGAAGTCCTGCTAAATATCACACTACATGTTACAATTATCTCCAAACCTTTTCAACAGTTTCATAGAAACACTCAGTAATATGAAACATCAGCTTTGCAGGACTTCCCAAGATGATTCTTAAGGGACCGAGAAGTCTCCCTGTTCTGGATCGTATAGCTCTATGTAACCCTAACTAGAGAACATGTATCAGTATGTTAGAATATCTGGCACTTATTGGGTTAAGTGCTGTCTCCTTAAGAGATGGATTATGGGAAATGCAGTTTAGCTAGTCAATCATCCCATGTTAATGGGTCAGTGGGAGGAGTTTCTAAAGAGCATTGGGAGACTTCCTGGACACAAGCCAGATTNTTGAAGCTACCACAGAAATATCAATCAGAGGATACATAAAAAGCTAATGTAATGGTATGTGGGAATGACTTTAAGTGACAGGAGAATGATGCTGTTTAGGGAATGATCAGATAAAAGAGGGAGGAGCCCACAGATGCTTAACAGTCAGAGAAAGAAAGTTAGGAAAAATCCACCCTAAATTGACCAAGCTGTAAAAAGAGACAGCAGGAGAATCTTTCAGATTTGCAAGATTCTTGTTAATATAGCCTGATGGTAAAATAATTTGCACATCCTGTCTGGTTTACCTGGAAGGGTAAAGGTTATTTGCTACCAGAGGGTTATTTATATGTGTTTATCTTAGATTTATTGTACTCAGTTTAATCATATTTATCTGTTAATTTTCATACTCTTACTTTTTCTCCAAATATTCATCTTCCTGAAAGAATTCACATAACTGATCTTCCCATTCCAGTTTCCAGTTTCACCCTTTGGACGATCCTCTGAGTAAGATGGACTGTAGCTATTCCAAAGATCACCAAATGCATCCAGTTTTGGTCACCACGATGTAAAAAAGATGTTGAGACTCTAGAAAGAGTACAGAGAAGAGCAACAAAAATGATTAGGGGACTGGAAGCTAAAACATAAGGAATGGTTGCTGTCTAGTTTAATGTCTAGTTTAATGAAGAGAAGGACGAGGGGGGACATGATAGTAGTGTTCCAATATCTGCCACAAAGGGGCTGCCACAAAGAAGAGGGAGTCAAGCTATTCTCCAAAGCGCCTGAGGGCAGGACAAGAAGCAACGGATGGAAACTAATCAAGGAGAGAAGCAACCTAGAACAAAGGGGAAACTTCCTGACAGTTAGAACAATTAACCAGTGGAACCTGACTCCAGAAGTGGTGAATGCTCCAACACTGGAAGTTTTTAAGAAGAGAATGGACAGCCATTTGTCCAAAATGGTATAAGGTTTCCTGCCTGAGCAGGGGATTGGACTAGATGACCTCCAAGGCCTCTTCCAACATCATCATCATCATCATCATCATCATCATCATCATCATCATCATCATCATCATCATCATTATTATTAATGAAAATCATGGATGACCACAGACTTGAACTTCAGAACTAGATCAGACCAGCTTTCTCCTCATTAAGAACCATACATATTCTCTGGAAATAAATTAATGAATCACACTATATATCTCAAGGGGCAGAGTGCACAATGATAGAAAAAATCCACATGAACACACAAAAAGGGAAGACCTGCCTTGTTCGCCTAGAGGAATTTGGCTTGCAAATTTTTCCCCCCATAATCTTTAACAATAAACCCATTCTGATTCCTCCTCATGTGAGCCATATTTCTGGTCTGGTGGATATTATCAACATTTTTCTCTGTTGTGTAAATAGCCTTCTGTTCTGTGATGACTGAAAACAGAATGTGAACAAGCTTTAAGCCAAATGCTTTCTCAAAAAAGCTTTCATTACTTCTGAAGATTTCAGAGTGTGGGTGGGAAACGTCTGAAATGAGTGGAAAATATTAAGAAGTTCATATCTTTTATTTTGTGCTATGCCAGCCCCCTGGT